AAAAATAGGACAGTTCGCTCAAGCACAATTTCAGTCGCTTGAGTGAGTTGCAAACTCTACAAAAGTACTGGTTGCATGATTTTTACGCTCGACAGACGCTCGACGGTCTCTTGAGCCAAAGACAGGGTCCTCGCTCAAGCACAACTTCGGTCGCTCGAGCAGTCTGTAAAACTTTGTAAACTTCTGGGAGCATGAATTTTACACTCAAGCTTAGACTTCTTCGCTCGAGCAGAAGAACAAAACAAAGAGTGGTCACTCGAGCGTAACTTCCGTCGCTCGAGTAGAGATGCAGAATTCTAGAATTTCCAGATTATACTCCCAGCTTCAAAACTCAAATTCAAACCAACAAAACATATCCTTTTGGGCCTAAACTTGAGGAAACATATTTAAACTCATAGAACTTCATGATTTGAAAGCCATTTCGCAAAATCAAAGCCCAAAAACAGGCCAATTATTCAAAAACAAACTTGAATTGTATGTATGTATAACATGCATGTATTGTCTTGGCTTCAAAGCTTACAAAACATGATCAAATGAGGTCCAATGGTGAGAAATGTTATGAATTCTTAAAACCATGCTAGAATTACCACATGCATGGGAGAAATCTTTGAAAACAACTTCAAAACTCTAAGAAATGCACATGCATGCATGAATTGATTCTCAATTCTCATGTTAATTCACCTATCTCACTTGATTCCATGTATTAACCAACTAAATTACAAAACTATAGGCTAGAATTCTTACCTAAGGTTCTCAATTCCTTAAGGTTTAGAGATATTCTGGAGCAATTCTCCAAGTCTCCTAGCAATTTCCTTCCAAACCTCAAGCTTGATCTCCATTCTCTTAGTCTCTCGCTCTCTCACGTTTGTTGCTTCAAAGATGAAGAAATGAGTGTGTAAAGTGTACTTTAGAGCTCACTTGTGCCTTATATAGGCTTGATTAAAGAGACTTAATTAAGCTTGGCTTAAACTAATCAAATTGGCATTAATTATCTTAATTAATTCGTTCCGAATAGAATTTCAATTAATCCTATCATAAATTTCTAGAAATTCTAAATAACACATAAACCTAAACAATTTCGTAATCGGATGCCGATAAGGCCTTCAATTCATATAATGAAATAGAAACATAGATATATCTATCTATAACAGACAGATATAAATACAAATAACATATTACACATGCAATTAACGTAGTATTTCATTTTAATCACTTATTAGGCCTTCTTAACCAAAGATTATAAGCTAATCACAAGTCAGGGTTGTTACAGATATCGTGCGCTGCGGCCTTATCTGCTAACGTGAGCCGCGTGTTTCTAACCTCAGCTGACGTTAGCCCCTGGTTCCGTGCGTTGCTGTTGCTCCTCTTGTTATTGTGCACCGCGTATATTTACTTACGTGCCCTGCGCGTGTTGACGTCATCCTTCTTGCTGGTTCCGTGCGCCACTGCTGCTTCTCTTGCTATCATGCGTCGCGCATCTCTACTAACGTGTGTCACGTATGCTGACATCATCCTTTCTGCTGTGACCTTAGCCCTAGTTGACCAGATTGGTCAAACCACTTTGACCAGTCATTTCACTACCTTTCTGGTCGTGTTTTTGGCTCGTTCAGACCATATCCCAGCTGTTTTCGACCTCATAAATCTACTAGTGTGTTCTGTTTTGGCAAAATTAGCCTCTACAGTGCACCTTCTTCTTTTTTTTGCCCAATTTGAGCATCATGGATCATTCTGACGACATCCATTCTATCTCCGTTACACTTGATCGGTCCAATTACGTTCTCTGGGCCCAAGCTCTCTCTGGATTCATCAAAGGGAAGCGACTTTAGTGTATTATCACTGGTGCTCTTTCTAAACCCATCCAGGAAGAAAAAGAGACCGCCTCTGCTTTCGATGAACATCTTGATGAATGGGAAGGGAAGAACTACCAGATTATCACATGGTTCTGGGCTACTTCTGTTCCCTCCATTAACCTTCAATTTGGCTACTTTTAGGATGATAATTCCATTGTCTCTCCTGCCAAGGCAATTTGGGATTTCTTGAAAGAAAATTATCAGACTACTGGACATGCTCACCAATATCAACTCTTACAAACTCTTCATCACATGCACCAAGAGCCTGGTCAGTCCATCAATGATTTTTTGTCCCAGATGTCATCTGTTTGGGACCAATTGGCTCTTTTTGAACTTACTTGGGCACATTATGAGGATGCACAGTTATTTATTGTTCATAGGAATCATCAGCGGCTATTGTAGTTTCTTATAGCTCTTCATAGCACCTTTGAACCTGTGCGTGCTTCCTTGCTCCATCGTTTGCCCTTACCAACTTTGGAGCAAGCCATTACCGAACTCTTGTCTGAAGAAACTCGTTTTGGGATGCTCAAAACTCCAAACTTGGATTCTATTCTTGCTACGCCATCATCACAAGGTTCTTCATCTTCATAGCCTCTTAGCTAATGCATTTATTATCGTAACCGTGGCCTACCTGCCAATCATTCTTTACTTCAGTGCCAAGTTTGTGAATGCTTGACTTGCCATAAGACTGCTCCAGGTCATCTCCAAAGCAATTGTCATCGAGCTCCCCCTGTTTTTTCATCCAAGAAAGGGCTTCACGTTCTGGGCATCAGTGCAAATCTGTTTCTCGTTCTCGTCCTCCTGCTACTGTTGCTGCATTAGAGAGTTCTTGTGCTTACCACTCTACTGATCCTATTGCTCCATCATTTTCTATGGATGATGTTGAGTCCATTATCCAACAAGTGCTTGCCAAATTCGGTAATATTCATTCTCCTACTCTTTTAGTCACATTAGATAATTCTTCATGGTATTTTGATTCTGCCTGCTGTAATCATATGACCTTTGATTCTACTATATTTTCTTTTATCTCATCATCCTCTTCTGTTCCATCTATACATACTGCTGATGGTTCTCATATGTCTGTTAGACACATTGGTCAAATTTCTACTTCCATTGTATCTCTTTCTAATGTTTATCACATTCCTACTCTTAAATTAAACCTAATCTCTATTGGTCTATTGTGTGAACTAGGTTTCATCGTCACCTTTTCTACTAATGGTTGTTCGATGCAGGACCCTCAGGCGAAACAGATCCTTGGGATAGGCTGTAGGCATGGACATCTATTCGAGCTTCTTCATCTTCACATTCCATCTACATTATCCACTGTTGCTTCTGTTGCCTTTTTCACTACTTCTACTTCTATGTCTTCTTTTCACCTTTGGCATTGTCGTTTAGGACATGTCTCTTTTTGTCTTTTAAAAACTTTGGTTTCTAGTGGTCGATTAGGTCGTGTTAGTTCTAAAAATGTTGATTGTTTACCTTATCAAATTGTTAAGCTGCCTGTATTACCTTTTAATAAAAGTAATTCTATTTCTACTACCCCGTTTGCTTTTATGCATTCAGATATTTGGAGACCCTCCCACACCCGGACCATGGGGGGTCTAGATATTTTGTAATTTTTGTTGATGATTTTTCTTGTTATACTTGGATTTTTTCTCAAAAGTCCGTTTGAACTTAAATAGATTTATTATGATTTCTTTGCCATGGTCCACACTCAGTTTTCTCAAACTATTAAAATCTTTCATTCTAATAACACTATGGAATACTTGGATTCTGATTTTTTTTCCTTTCTTCAAGCACATGGTACCCAATCTCATCGTTCTTATGCAGACACGTGCTAACAAAATGGTCGCGTTGAAAGAAAGCATCGTTATATTCTAGACACTACTCGGGCCCTTCCCATCTCCTCTTTATGTCCAGAAAAATTTTGAAGGGAAGCTGCTCTCACTGTTTTCTACATCATAAATCGTGTGCTTACTTCTCTTATAATTAATCTCTCTTCTTATGAACGTCTGGATGGTTCTTCGCTTACATACACCACTCTTAAAGATTTTGGCTCTGCTTGTTTTTTTCTCCTTCAACCTCATGAACACACTAAACTAGAACCTTGTTCTCATCTTTGCTGTTTTCTGGGATATGGTATAGAACATAAAGGGTATCGCTGTTGGGATCCAGTCTCCAAACGCCTTCGTATTCTCGTCGTGTGGTTTTCTGGGAACACAAAATGTTTTCTACTTTGTCTAAGTTTCACCTACCACAATCCACCCATTCCCTATTTTTTACTGATCTTTCTATAAACTTGATGTCTCCTGAATTTGATGCAAATTCCCGTTCAACGCCTTCACAGCTACCTATGCCTACCGTCAATCATAAGGTTTCTATATCTGACGATAGCCCTATGCTTTCTCTATTACCTCCTGTGGAGCCTCCTCTATCATCTCCTGTGGAGCTTTCTCTATCCCCACCACCATCTCCTCCAACAGATCGTCATTTGACTCGGGTAAAACAACCTTCCGTTCTTCTCCGTGATTATATTGTTGGTTCCACTACTTTTTCCTCTCATGAACCAACTTCCTATTGTGAGGCTTGTTATAACCTTCTTTGGCAACAAACTATGACTAATAAACTGCAAGCTTTGGATAAAACTCATACTTGGGACGTGGTTGGTCTTCCTTGTGGCAAGACTACTGTTAGTTATAAATGGCTTTATAAGATCAAAACTAATTCTGATGGTTCCATTAAACGTTACAAGGCCTATCTTGTTGCTCGGGGATTCACTCAAGAGTATGGGATTGACTATGAGGAAACATTTGCTCCTGTTGCTCGTCTTACTTCAGTTCGCAGCTTATTAGTCGTTGTTGTTCCTTGCCACTGGAGTCTTTGTCAAATGGATGTCAAGAACACCTTTCTCAATGGTGATCTCACTGAGGAAGTTTATATGCAAGCTCCGTTTAGTCCTCTATTCCATCCATCAAAATTTGCAAACTTCATCGTGCTTGGTATGGGTTAAAACAAGCTCTTCGTGCCTAGTTTAGCAAGTTCAGTTATACCATTCATGCCTTTGGCTTCTTTTCCTATGCCTAGGATTCTGCCTTGTTTATATGTCAGACAAGGCGCTGTATTATTATTATTCTTCTCTATGTGGATGATATGATCATCACTGGTGATGACACAGTGGGTATCTCTAGTCTCAAACAGTTCCTCAGTCACCAGTTTGAGACAAAAGATTTGGGTTTGTTGAGCTACTTCCTCGGCTTAGAAATTTCTCATGATCCTTTTGGTTACTTTCTCACCCAAGCCAAGTATATCTCTGATCTCTTAACTTGTGTTGGTCTTATCGATTGCAAGGCTGTTACTACTCCAATTGATCCTCAGACTCGTCTCACACCTCTTGATGGTTGTCACGCCCCAATTTTTAATTACTCGAAAACATTACCAAAAGCCTTTAATTTAGGTCCTTTTTTTTTTACTATTATCTATTACCCTTGAGTAATAGAAACATAATAATACATGTTCTCGCTCTCAATGAATACAACAATAATAACAATACCTGCCAACTTCCACTACGGAGCTGCAAATAAATAATTACAATGCCAATGTACAAAATTCATTTCTTTCACATATACTATGAAATTACACATAAAATATACATGAACTTCTTAACTCTCCAACCAATCAATCCGAATTCTCTTCCTGTAAGAAAAATTAAACAATAAGGGATGAGCACAATTGCCCAGTAGGAATCTCATAGTTCTAAAACAATAACCATCCTATAGATAGAAATAATCATGCATGCAGGGTGATACCACATAGTAATGTAACGTTTTGTAATTTCAAAATATCATACATAGAGTACCTTTTTCTCAAAATTTATTTGAGCACTTAAGGAAAACCTGCAACCATAAAAATTATCTCTTATCACCAGCAAACCATAAATCCTTTTTGAAAACAAATATGTTTAAGGAACAACATCATTTTAAATTTATTAACCAATTCTAAAATATTCCTCATTTAATTTCCATTTTAATATCCCTCTTTTTATTTCCATTTTCTCTTTTTACTAATTACATTTATTATAACTCCATAACCTCAAGTTCAAGTTCCCTTAATACTCAAAAACAGCCCTCATACACTCCATTCCAACCTGTCTATTCATATTTGCTGTAACTCCTTAATGTAGAAATCCAAATCTCCTTTATATTTAATAACAATTCTCCTACACTCAACTCCTACTTGTCTAACGACTACATCACATCCACACTAGCATTATCAATTATAATTCATCATATCACAAGGATAATAAACCCTTTTAATTCAATTTCTTCATTAATTACAAAACAAAACTCTTAATCTTTCCTTATAGTTACAAACAACCTAGTGAATTCGTTAGCACCAACCCCTTATCCCGTTACTATTTCATTATCCATTCTTTTCAAATAATTTCTATATACATTCCTTTTCCATGACAAATTACACATCAAATTGTAATTTCATAAGTTCATCTCAATTCACACATATCATCACCGGCTCAACCCATTTCACAACACATTCCACCTTTTGCCGACTTGATACGACGGGATAGCAGGCGCCTAACTCATAACACCTTCCACATTTTGCCGACTATTATACGGCAGGAAGTGAACTACCAAAAACCATTTTCTAAAAAAATATATTTTTCCAAAAACCATGTTTTTCCACATTTATTGACTGTCATACAGCAGGATGTTGACCCTCAAAAACATTTTCAACTTTAAAACCATCCCCACATTTGCTGGCTATTATACAGCAGGAAGTGGGCACCCAAAAACATTTTCAAAACCATCCATTTTCCACTTTTGGCGGCTACAATACGGCAGGACTTTGTGGACACCTAAAAATCATTTTTCCACTTTTATCGACTACAATACAGTAAGACTTTGTGGACACTCAAAAATATTTTTCCCACATTCATCTAGCGATAAGCCTAGACAGGGCATTTGGACACCTTGAATTCAAAACCACCCCCACATTTGCCGGCTATTATAAGGCGAGACGTGGGCATCCAAAACCATTTTCAACTCCCTCGCGCGGGTACTAACCACAACACAACTCAACTCAACCCAACACAACTCAACATAACTCAATGCAATTCCACATAACACACAACAGAATTCTACACAACCGAATTCAACACTATTCAATACAATTCAGCATAAATCAATACAAACTCTTAAACCTCCATATCATCATTTCATCACAAAGCTCATATCATCCATACCATTAGTCATTTCTTTTCCCCAAGTTTGGTTTCATATTATGACATAATTTAAAATATCAACATTAAGGGTTTAATCGCAACTTTTACATAAATTCTCAAACTCTTTACAATTTCAATTAAACTTGTACATGTGTAATTTGACGCCTCAATTTCATGATACCACTTTCCTTTTAAGCAAAACCATCATCTATCTTCATGAACCAAGCTAGGATTTTTAAGAGAAATTAAAGTTTTTCACAAAACACATTTTATTCCAACCCTTCTATTGCTTATACACCCAAACTCATGACCCAAAGTCCTAACCCAACAAGTAAACCCAACTCTTCAAACCCTAACCCCCAATCTCATGATTAATCACAATATGTATAAAAGTATAAAATTTGTATTTATATAAAGAAAATACCATAAATCTATCTATAAATGAGGGTATTGAAGGAGAACTGGAAATCCCTACCTCTTGAAGCAAAGAGATGACAACCCAAAAATCACCGGCGACGAAACCACGAAACTCTTGGATAAAAAAGAAGCCCTTGACAAGATCTACAATTTTTCTTAAAGTACCAAGGTGAAAAGATCACTCTAGGTGAGTAGATCTAGAGATCTACGTGAAAAAGTTTGAGTTTAGAGAGAGAAAAGATAACTCACGGTGTAGAGAGAGAAAAGATGAGGAAAAGTGAAATGAATAAGTGTTTGGAGCCTATTTATAATGGCTAGGCACTAATAGAACAATAGCCCCAAAGTCAAATGAAAAGAACAAGTCAAAAACCCCTAAAAAGTAGGGCCCAAACCGACCCAAAAATCTGAAAATTACACACAGGGGTTGACCCTTCGGGAAGAAAAGCTAAGACACTAATGTGTGCAGAGGAAACGGTGTCGAAACCTCCCAGACTGGTGTCGAAACTAAATTTCAGCAAGCAAAACCCAGATTCTGCAATAGACAAGGGTCGACACCTCCCAGACTAGTGTCGACCCCAAAGGCCAACAAGAAAAGGCAAGTGTCGACATCACCAAGGGCTGGTGTCGACACTAAATTTCAGCAGCGATCTAGGAACACAACAGCAAGATAGTGTTGATGCTTCCAAGGCCAGTGTCGACCCTTGCAGCGGAAGAAGGAAAGAAATAGAAGGCAGTGTCGACCCTAGAACAAATTTTCCAAATTTCCAAAGAACTTTTCAACGTAAATAAGTGTGAACGAACAATCCCAACATGTTTAAATCGAATTGTACTCCTCCAAAACCAAGATACAACAACTCCAAAGACTCCTAAAAGAAAATAAAGGAATTAAATACACCATCAATAGATTAAAGGATACAAATGTTACAATGGTCACCTATTATCTGATGTTACTTTATATCGTCAGTTAGTTGGCAGTCTTGACTATCTTACGGCTACTCATCTAAACATTGCTTATGTTGTTCACATTGTCAGTCAGTTCATGGCTGCTTCTCACTTTCCGCACTATGATGCTCTAGTTCACATTTTGTGCTATCTAAAAGGCACTATGCTCCATGGTCTTCATTACTCAGCACATTCTTTTCTACAGATACATGTTTTTTCTAATGCGGATTAGGCAGAGGATCCTACTGATCGCCGCTCTACTACAGGGTTCTGCTTCTTCTTGGGTGATTCTTTCATTGCCTGGCGTATCAAGAAACAAACTCTTGTTGCTCGTTCTAGTACTAAGGCTGAGTATCGTGCTCTTGTGGATACTACTCAAGAACTTGTGTAGCTTCGTTGGGTTCTTATTGATATGAGAATTCCCATCCTGTTGCCACTAACTTCTATTGTGACAATCAGAGTGCTATTCAGATTACACATAATGATGTTTTCCATGATCGCACCAAGCATATTGAGATTGACTGTCACTTCATCCGGCAACACGTTACTAGTGGCACTATTCGTCTTATCTTTGTTACCTTTGCCGGTCAAATAGTTGACATCTTTACCAAGGCTCATCCTCCAGGACAATTTTTTGATTTACTTTCCAAGCTCAACTTAATATCTGTATTACCACCTTGAGCTTGAAGGGGGTGTTAAATATATTTGTATATATCTGATAATATGTTTATATATATCTGTTATAGAGTATATTCTCTGTATATACTTATCTTCTCTTCTAAATAAAGGAGTGTGTACCTATTCATTCATAATATATATTGAATACAAGAGTTTCTCTTTTCTCTTCTATTTCTACTCTCATAACATGAGGTATCGTCGAATATCAAACCTTCTATCTCTTTTCAATTTCCTCCAAAGTTCTATAAATGGATTTGGAGTATGGATATACCTCCAAAAATTCGGCTTTTTTGGTGGCGTACGTGTATTGATGTGCTAGTTACTAAGTCCAATTTGTTCAAATGGAAGTGTTCATCCCCTGCATTATGCCCTGTGTGTTTGAAGGAAACAGAATCAACGGAATTCGATTGTACATAGACGAAAATGGTGTGGTTTGGAAGCTTACTTTCTTTGCAGATTGAACAAGGCATAATTCATAATCTTACACAGTGGACGGCTAAATGGTTGGAGATGGGTCCGGATTCTGAGGCAATAAATGGAATAGAAGTGGTCAGTAAAATAGCCTTGATTGGATGGTTTATATGGAAAGCTCGCAATGATCTCGTCTTTAATCATATGCCAGTTATCCCAAGTGAAATCATTCAGAAGTATTTCCAGGTTTGATTTGAGTATGAACACCATTGGAATGGGTCATCCGCTGGACCTTTGGAGGGTCCTTCGTTGCATCCACCTTCTCATAGGTGGTGTCCAACTACGTACGATGAAGTCAAGATCAATTGCGATGCAAGTTTTAATCATGCACATCTGAATGCATTTGCAGCTGCTATTATGCGTGACTTAAGGGGAAGGCTTTTGGACTGTTTGGTTTCATCTTTCCTAGCATCCTCTACCTTACAAGTAGAAGCTCATGCAATTCGTCTGGCATGTTCTTTAGCTCAAGCACATAGTGCCTCAATGGTTGAGATTGAAAGTTATAATCAATATCTAATCAAGCTCTGTGTGTCTGAAGATGTGCCACCTTGTATAGCAGTGGTGCTTGACATTCGTAGTTTCTCAAAGCTGAGGCAATGGAATTTTGGATGGACCAGATGAACAAACAATAGTGTTGCGCATTGGGTCGCTAATTCCTACACTAGAAAAAGCTTCCTGCTAATTGGGTGGACTATCCACCTTTAGCCTTTGTTTCTATTTTGTCTAGTGATGTATCTAGTTAGATGTTTAATATATAAAGCTTCATTTGTGCAAAAAAGTAATTGGCAGTCCTCAAATTGGTGGGTGTACACATTTTGTTCTTCTTCACATAGAGTATTTTCATCAAATTAGTTAAAATTTTGTTATATTTTGACTTAAAATTTATTTATTTTTTATTTCGGTTATATACTCTTTTTCAAGACATTGTCTAACAAATAGGAATGGCAACGGGCCGGAGCGGGGCTGGGGATCACACTCCCCGTTCCCGATCCCCGATGGTGGAAATTCTCCTGTCCTCGGCCCCAATCCTTGATGGGAAACCTATCACCGCCCTCCGCCTCCTAACGGGGATCGAGTTTCCCCGACCCCGAAAATTCCCCAGCCAAAAAAAAAAAAGCTCCAAAAAATACAAGAAATTCTTGTATTTTATTCAAACAGCGACAACAACAATTAAACAGATCTAGCAGATTTTCTTCAAGAAGTCATCAACAACAATTAAACAGATTTTCTTCAAGAATTTATCAACAACAACAACATCAACATCATCAACAACAACAATAACATCATTTTCAACAGATCTAACAGATCTGAGCTCAAATGTAAAAAATAAAAAATCTAACACATTAAACAGATCATCATTTTCTTCATCTTTATCTTCATCAACAACAGATCTGAGCTCAAATCAAAAAAATATCTTTATCATTTTCATCAACAACAGATCTTAATCAACAACATCTTCATCTTCATCATTTTCCAGATCTAAAGAACAAAAACAAAAAACAAAGAGAGAGAGGAGATACTGTGTGAGAGACAAGAAGCCACTACCAACTAAATTGGCGAGGAAGAGAAAGAGAGAGAGAGAGAGGACCCTTTGAAAATTGGTGATGAGAGAGGAGCGGCGGTAGCAGCAGCCATCGTGTGTAAGAGAGAAAAAGGGAGGCGATATTCGTCGCGTCAGATGAGGTGATAGAAGAGGAGGCAACGGAGCAGCATACTGTCGCGAAAGGGGAGATGACGCCGACTGCGGAGAGAAAAAAAGGGAATGAGAGAAAGAAGAGAGTGTCTCAGTGTCTTTGTGAACCCTTAACAATAAATTGAGAAAAGAGAGAGAGAAAACACACACACACACACACACACACACACACACACATATATATATATATATATAGACAAGGGTACAATGGTAATTTCATATCAAAGGGAACTGGGTAAGGGGCCGAGGTCAGGGCCGGGGCCAAAGACGAGCCAGGTCCGAGGTTGTGGAACGTATCACCATCTCGGGACTGAAAATGGTCAGGGATTCATTTTCGAATACCATTCCCGGCCCGTCGGGGGTATTTTTCGAGAAAAAATTGTTCCAATCGGGGTCAGGGGATCGAGTCCCCGTCGGGTCAGTTTCAAATTGCCATCCCTACAAATAAACTCTTATTATTTTTCTATATTGTTTAAATATTATTTTTATTCATTCTAATTTAGAATTATTTTTTATAAACTCAACACAATTAATTTCAAAATGAGTTGTTTGGGATGTGATATATAAGTGCCGTTTTTTACTTTTTAGCTAAAAAGTAGAAAAAAAAGGATGTATGTTTGGAATAACTTTTTGACTTTTTACGAAAAAATGTGTAATAAAATAATGTAGCAAATATCAAAATTATCGGTCTACCCTTCTAACACATGCAGCAGCACTGTTGAGCTTTCCGTGTATTTCGATTTTTTTTTTTTTTTTATGGAATTCGTGGCTTACATTGTGCCGCGACAGTAGCATTTGGGGAAACGCAATGCAAAGTGTCATTGCATTTGACGTCATTGCTTGTGTAATGCAATTCAAAGTTTGAGTTGTCAGACACAGCCTTCCCGCCCAAACAAGGTAACAATATGAATTTTTTTTACTTTTTTAGTGATTTTTTGTCTTTTTTAGGTGATGCCAATCAAGGGCTAAATCAATGTTTGTGAAACACTAGCCATATTTGTTGAGCCAAAAGTACCAAAACTAAAATATTTGATAGCCAATCTGATGAAGGTTAATTAAGTGATTTACTCACTATTTTAACTAAAAAATAAAAGGATAAATTACAAACACACCCCCTGAGGTTTACTTAAATTACAAATTATCCTCCGTGGTTCTAGAAATTACATATGCCCCCTAAGGTTTCTAATTTCATAACAAATAGGTCATTTTATTAATAAATCATCAAGTTAATTAAAAGTTTTTAATAATGTTAAAATTTTATTTCAATTAATAATTTAGATGATTTTATTATTGTATAGGTGAACAGTTAGAAATTTCACATTTTCAATTAATTCTATTAAATAAAAGATTCCGACATGGAGGTATTTATAATTTTTGAAATCACAGGCGACAATTCATATTTTAAGCAAACTTCAGGGGGTGTATTTGAAATTTACCCAAAATATATAAAAATTACCAATTCTCCTTTGACTATAACAAACAAACAAACAAAAAGAGAAAATTTTGAAAAAACAATCATATAATACAATTTATAGTACAATACGATCATATATATATATATATATATCTAATTCTAACCTTAAATATTGGGGCAAATTACATATACCTCCCTCGAGGTTTAACAAAATTACAGACACCCCCTTGAGGTTTTAAAAATTACAGATACCCCCCTAAGGTTTATATTTTCATAACAAATTGCCCCCTGAGATTTATATTTTCATAACAAATTGCCCCTTAATTTGTTATGCAACTATAACCTTCAGGGGGTATCTGTAATTTCTCAAACCTCAGGGGGGTGTCTGTAATTTTGCTAAACCTCGAGGGAGGTATATGTAATTTGCCCTAAATATTGAGAAAATGACAATTTCATAAAACTTAGACAAAAAAAATCAACTTAACAAAATTATCAAATTTTATCAAACAATTAGAATAGCTTTTGCGCTTCATCGCCAAATTTTAATTATGACATGGGATTTAGCACAAAGATGCTATTAGTAGTGGTTTATCTTTGTATGAGAGGGTTTAAAAATGTCATTGGAAAATTCGAAGATCTTTGAAAAAAAAAATTGAATTCGCTAGAAAAATGATGAGAGGCTTAGATTCTTCAATAGTCACAACTAAGAACACAAAAGCAAAGAGATGATAGAGATAAGAGATTGAGTGAAGAAGAAGGCAAAGCAATTACAGAGAGAATAATGGCAAAACTCTCCCATGGATTTCCCACTTTCACTCTCAAGGTTGATAATGGAGAAGGGAACTTAGTTCTTTCCCAGGAGTTATCTCTCCAAAATCCATCACTTGTAAAGATATAGGTGGGTGCTATTTATAAGCACCTCATGATGTAGGATAGAGCCCATGTGCAAGGCACACGAGGAATATTCTCTCTAACCACCTTGGCTGATGAGGTGACCTCTTTGAGGATTAGGAAAACCCCAAAGAGGAGATCAACCTCTGGGCGAATCCTTCTCCTTAGCCACACCTAACCAATGATCCCCAATCATTTGAACGGGCGGAGTTAGTCCTAGAGGACCCCCTGCTGCTAAATAATGCCGAGCCTCGTGGACCCCCCGAGTATAGGCTAAATTAACCGATGAGTGAATTAATCTCCACCCCTCGTCCTCGGGATTCAGGCCCTTTGTTCGTACCCTAAACTCACTCATGATTCTGGTGGGTTGATCCCAGAATGCTCCAAGTCCGCAAATGTTCTGGGACTCACCAATGGAGTGACTTCTAGATTGCGATCAAATTTGTTCGAAGCTCGAGTGCCTTGGATCTCTAGGCCTGCTCAATACCCTTTCGAGTCTGAGCCCGAGTAAGTCTCTAAGTTCGTGGATCCGAACCCTTTCAAGGCTTAGAGCGATTCGGCCCGTTTGATGGCGATAAATCCGGGCCCACCAATCTTGGTCTTGTGATAAATTCGGGCCCACCAACTTTGGACTATTGAGCCTAATTAATTTAGTAGGCTCAAATTAACTCCTCTTACATTTACCCCTTGCGTATATGAGAAATTTTGGTTTTCTCGGACATGCTTATTTTCACCTTTTCAGCTATGCTTTGCATTACGTCATCTAGAATATTTTGTCCTGACAGAATTTATGGATAAAGCTGATGTCTCACCATAACTTATGGATAAAAGTGACAAGTAAAAAAAAAAAAAATTTTTTTACCCCTGATCTCACAATTTTTTTTTGCCCTTGATTTTTTTAGAACATCTGAAAAATATTTTCTTTTCACTACAAGAAAAAAATAAAGCACCCATTTTTTTTTAATTTTATTGAAAAGGTGAGGTTCATACACATTTTTTTTTCTTGTTTGGCAAGTCAGCGAAGTCAGCATGCCCATATATATCAGAAATGCTTCGGACCTCTAGAGCAAGAGCTCTAGAGCGGCACTAATGACGTGGCTCTGATGTGGAGTCTACAGTTGCTAACTCGCGCATTTCTCTCTCTTTCTCATTCTTGAGTTCAAATTTCAAAATTATTTTCATTTGTCTTCTCTCTGTATATTCAAAACCTTCTCGTCTCTCTCTCTCGACCTCTCACTCCCCGACGAGCGAAGCTCTACTCCAACCCGCCAGCGATCGATTGTCTCTCTGACCAAGCTTCTCTGTCTCCCCTCGATCCTCACTCCCGACGATCGACACTGTCGCTTCTCACTTCTCGTCAGTCCCGCCGGACGGTGGAGGACTTGCTGTATTCTCTCGACTCTCTCTCAGACTGCCAATCGAGTATGTATCTTCTGTCGCCGACTGAGTGTCCATTCCGAAGAGCGACCCGAACCTGCGATTCCAACGTACAGGTATATAACTTACAATGAAATTTAGACATAGGGCTTGTATGTATGTATGTGTCTGTGTGTGTTTGTGTATGTCTGTGAAACAACATCTCAAATGAAATTGATTACTGTTATATATAGAAATTGATTTCTAAGTTATGAAATTGATTTATACTGTATAAATGAATTGATTTCATTTGAGATGAAATTGAAATTATTATATGATTTATACTGTAAATCAGTTGTTTCATTTGATTTCTAAAAATGATTTATACTGTAAATCATATATAGAAATTCTTTTGTAAATTCTTTTATACTGTTATATAGAAATTATTATATGATTTATACTGTAAATCAGTTGTTTCATTTGATCTCTAAAAATGATTTATACTGTAAATCATATGAAATCAATTGATTTATCAAATGAAATGAAATGAAATTTGAGATGTTGATACTGTTATATGATTTATACTGTAAATCATTTCTAAGTAATGAAATTGATTTATACTGTTATATATAGAAATTCTTTTGTAAATCAATTGTTTCATTTGAGAATTTGGAGATGTTGTTTCATTCTTGATGAAATTGGTTTGTAATTCGGAGATGTTGATTTAGGCATTCTTTTGTCAAGTAAGGTTCTTACAACCAATGTTTTAAAAACCGGACCGGTGAACGAATCGGAAAAATGATCGGGTGGACAGGTCACCGGTTCAACCGTCGGGTTGAACCGGAATCGAACCGTTACGTAATAAATATATTAAAATTATATTTAAATAAAAATATAAGTAATAAAATTATAAATTAAAAATATTTAAATTATTAAATTATCTTAAATATTTGTCCTAATATTTTTTTTTACTAAAAATATAATAATATATTTTGAAATATTATTAATTTCAATTTTTGTTGCTAGTTTCATGAAGACCTTTATTGTTGTAGGTTCTGTAGATTATTCAAATTTGGCTTGATATTTTCGCAGATTGCGGTGGTTTTATTGGATGATGCTTGCCTACAAATATAGAGGTGACGGAGAAGTGCAAATGAAAAATATGCCAACTATCACCGAACAACTACGATTTATGAGCGAACAACTTCAATTTCAGAGTGCAAAGATGCTTAAATTGGAAAAAGACATAAATTGAAGTTGGTGTCGTATTTATGGGTTTTTCATCTTGTTTGTAATTGGTGTTGTATCAGTTATGAAGACATAATAATATATATAAATGTTAGAATGTTGCTATTTAGTTATTCATCTTGCTTGTAATCGAATGGTTATGAATGAATGCTATTTTGTTAGTTATTCATCTGTTATTGAATCATTTGTTAATGGATGGATTGTGATTGTGATCAATTCAACCATGAACAGGAATGATGGAACCAATTTCATTGACCTATTTTCCAGTGATCAATTCACCTTATGTTGCCACATAATGTTGCATGGCACTGGTGCCCCTGTTGAACTGCAGTATCAAACAAACTCATAAGAGGAAAAAGAAATTTTTTGTTCTGAAGGTTATCAACATTCAATTATAAACTAGAGCAGTATAGTTTGGACATATCTGCTTCAATGGCTCGGATGTTATACAAAATTCAAAATATTGCAACTTTATTAACACAATTCTGAGGATCTGCAGTTGTTTAGGCCATGCTAAATGAGAGGGTAATTTTTGGGAAAAATTGGGCCGAGCTGCGAGTTGGGCTTTGAGGCCCAAAACGTGAAGGACTAAGTAAAAAGGGCGTAATGGATACTCCGGCCCAGGAGAGCAGGGTTACTCCGGCCTTGGAGAGCCAAAGTTACTCCGGCCCAAGGAGGTGAAATTACTTCGGCTCACAAATGATAAAGTTACTTCGGTTGGAGGATTGTAAATGTACTTCGGTCTGGGAGCAACTTGAAGTTAGACCGGCCTTGAAGTTATGCCGACCTTAGAGGTATACCGGTTTGGGAGTTATACCGGTCGAGATTCGTTGGTTCGGTCCAAACACACCATGGGTTGAACAGATGAGAAACCGATATAAGGAAGAGTAAAGGGAAGGGCTGAACTAAGGATAGTTCGGCCTACTTTACCTCGGTCAAATGGTAGTTCGGCCATGGAAAAAACCTTCCCACTTGGTTTAAGCAGTGGGGGAGGGTGTAAAAGGATAAGCATTATCCTTAGGAGTATGAATCCTAGGAGGACTCTGCAAGTAGAAATACAAGTCCTACTAGGATTATGCCACGGGAAACTTATAAAAGCTCACAAGCACCACCTTGGAGGAGGTAATTAATTGAACACAATTCTTTCTGAGAACTTAGAGCTTTGTCTATTTGTCAAGTTTTCTGACTTAGGCATTGGAGAGGTTTCCGGCATACACCCGCCGGCTAGCTCACGTTTGTGTTTTCAGGTGATAAAGCGACGTCGTACGGAGGAGCGTGGACTTGGTCAACAGGATTATACGAGGAGAATTATTTCCTCCCAGTACATATTTATAGTTGAGGAGGAGAAAAATATCTTTGTATCTATAATTATTTGATTTATCCAAGATATTATACATATATTCAAGTCTTATGAGCTAAAAGTTTATTAGCATTGCTGCAATCCTACAAAATTGAGATTAGCCGTGTTAAATCCATAACAAACTCACGGAGGATAAACATGAAAAGCCTCCGACATCAGTTAATTATCTTCAGCCTGGGGAATTCTTCCGCGCCGCAGTCATTGAGGTCTTATATGAAGATGCATCTCGTGTCTAACTTCAAATGTTTAATCAAATTCCACTGCCAATATACATAATGTCGTCTTTTGATAGATGCATTTTGCCTTTGTCTCGTTTACCATTTACACGTGGCTGCTCTGGTTGGCCTCGCTGCAACAAATATAAAATTTTCGTTCCTTAGGTCACAAAAATCAATTCTCTTCTCTGTTGTATGTACATGCCGGCTTTTTAATACACCAGTAGTAACTATAGTGTAAAATTCAAGGATGTAATTGCTTACCTTCCTCAATACAAATGATAGATATAAATAAGCTACTTCCCATTCATCCGGCGATAATGAACCTGAATATTGCAAGGCAAAAACTGAATCCGTTAATGAATATCCAAAAATTCGAATATGTTAATGAATGATAAACTAATCCATTAAAATCCAATTTGATTTGATCCGGCAAGACAAGACGAGCAATACTGTAACAACGAAGTAATGGCCTTTTGCATCCACAATATTTTTTTTTATGAGTTATTTGAGAATGTATTCTTATGAAATATATGCACCATTCCTAGACATTGTTCAGTTTAACACAGATGAGATTATTGCATCACTCGTCAATAATCGAGTTAGATCGGACACTCAAATAAACTGAATTTGGATGCAAATGGTCTCTTATCAGATTTGTCATAATCGGATCAGGTTCGGATTCAGATTGTTTCATAATCGGAGTGGATTAAGCCAAATCCAATCTGAATCCAGTCTGTTGACAGGTCTATTGGTATGTGTGGGTACCCAGGTGGTGGAAGGGGAATCCATTATAATATGGGAATACTAACTTTCTAAAGTAGGGTTGACATGATTCCCAGTAACACAAAAGTTGGAGTGTGGCAACCAAAAATATCAAAAGGCCGAAAAAAATAAGAAAAAGATAAAGCAACCATGAAATTTAAAGCTAACAATGAACTGGGTCTCTGTCATATAAACTTTACCCAAATCCAAGAATGGAAAGAAATGAAATGTTGCTTTACATATCAATACGGATATACATATAGATATACCTGGAGTTGGAGAGAGAGAATGAATGGGGCACTTGGAGGAGTGAGAAGAAGAAGGACGAGGGGCGAAGAGTGCTACAGAAGAAGTTCCGAGAACACTGGCCATTGTCCAAGTCTGTGTTTGTGGAGAGAGAGAGAGAGTTGAGCTACAGAGTGTGTGTTTTTTTTTTTTTTTTTTTTTTACAGTGCGTGAAACACACGCACTCAATATGCAAATGGCCTCCAATTTCATGCCTCACATGCCACCTGTTTAGAGCTCAATTTAGAGCTCGTCTTCTAGTGGTCCGTAGCGGAACTGCCATATATATATATATACATATATGTAGAATATTTGAGGGAATATTCAAGGCATTATACCTCTCTTTTTTTCTATTTAAGGAAAGGTCCAAAACCCTATTTTATAGCTCACTCTCTCTCTAGATCGAGAGACCAACTTTCTTAGACAAACCAGAGCTGCTGCCGTTTGCACAGACCTCCATCGTGGTTTCAAGCAACACCGCCGACCTAGCCCAGCTCTGTCTTTAGCAGATGTCGTGGCCCAACCACCGACCTGTCCCAACGTCGTGACCCAGCCACTATCTTGTCGCGACCCCAGTTGCTGCTCACTGTCGGTGCTTCATTTCAGGGTAACGGCGCAGCTTCTCAGAGACCTAGACACCGGAGCTCAGTTCTTGCTGACCAACGCCGACGCCGACTGTACTACAACCTCACTGCTGCCTTCATCCTCAACTGTTCAGCGCCGACCACGCATGTCGCCCATTAGTTCCTCATCTCGGCTTTGCTCCGCCGAATACCACCATCGTTGGTTCAGACGCGATTGAGTAGTGCCGACCCACACATGTCGCCCACTCAACGCGACGTGTGTGGCCCTTCCGAACACCATTCAACTCAACGCGACGTTTCTGGTTCCGTCGCTGCTGCGTCTCTGCCCTCTAGCGCCATCTACCTTGCCACTGCAACACTGGCTTGCCCAGCGCCATTCAGTGTGCTGTCAGCCTTTAAGAGAATCAGTCGTGCTCTTGTCTTGCGTCCCACGACTCATGCCGCTTTGATTCGAACTCAGCCATATTCTAACTGTTGGTATAAATCTGTGGGTAAGCTTTTCAAGATATTTTTATTTTGGGAGGCAGCTTTTTGTGAAAACCCCTTCTTAGAATCTCTTGCTTTGATGGAAATTTATATTCATGAACTTGGAGCTATTGGGCCTTAATAATTGTGATTTGAAACTGCATTGAAAAACTTGAATAGAGCTTTAATGTTGCAAATCTCACTGATGCTGGAATTGTTAAGCCTGAGAGTAGATTTTTTTTTTTTTTAATCAATGAATTTGGATAAATCAACACCTGTTTGGGCTTTGCATTCTTGGGATATGCTGTGCAACTTGCTTAAATGATTTTTTTTTTTTTTTTTTTTTTACTTTAAAAATTATCGTGACCTTCAAATATTGGTTATTTTTTTTTTTTTGAGTTGAAACTTGCCAAAGAAATTTTGAGCTATGAACATTGAGTTATGAGGAACATTCTGGGCTTATGAACATGGACTTTGGGAAGAACATTCTTGTAATTTGCATGACAATCTATTGAATCTTGCTATGGATGACAAATGTAAAATACTTCAGATCTTAGGTCTGAAATTTGCTATTGAACTTCACTCTATCCAAAGTTTGAGCCCTATTAAAGTTGGATCTTTAATATGAAACACAATAATTTTGAGAAAAGGACCCGCTTGAATTTCATCACAAAACGACCTATGACATTGTACTTCTTATTGATGACAGAAACTTGAAATCTATATGTTGATGATACACACATTGGTATTGCAATTTGTTGAGCTTGTAGATGTTGAGTGAATCTTGAACCCATATTGTTGAATTTGGTATAAATAAAATATTTAATACCCCACGGATGCTTTACTTAAGATAATGACGTCATGATAACTCTTAGAACGATATATGGTCATTCATTGGGCTTGTGGATAACCCGAGAAACAGACAGTTGATGTTGAAATTTCATTTGAATGTGTTACTTCAATTTCAATATTCTGAATTTTAATACGGTCGACTCCTTGCTATTTATACTTGTTATTTCAGCTATATGTCTTTTTGAAAGAACTCGGTCGTCTCGGGGTCATCAAAACTGGCTCTCATGAAAGAGAGGGACATGTCTCTGGCGTTCGAGTGGAGGAAATTTCCTTATTTTGGTCGAAAGGACCCGTTCTAGCGAGCAGCTACCTCCACCACTTCTCTTCTGTCTCCGAAGGGGGCTCCATTATGTCTCTCTAAGGACACTGATTCCAAATATGGGGCCCTCATTTCTTCTTCTTCAATGCTACGCTTTAGGGTTGAGCGAGGGGACTTTCCATACTGTTATCTCCAGTTCAAGGCTTTCTCAAACCCTTCTTTTGGTTGGCAGGAGTGGGTCGATGATGTCCTCTCGGACAGGGGCCACAGTTAGCGGCTTCAGGATGCCCGGCTATTGTTTCCATTGAAAAATATCTCGATCCTTATCCATTCGCCCAACAATGCTAGCCTTGAAGCCATGGCTCTCTGGTAGAGCACCAAGACGCACACTTTCATACCTGGCCAGCATGAGATAGGGCCCACCCTCGAGGATGTGTTCATGTTGTTGCATCTAGAAGTGACTGGCCCTGATGCCTTCTACCCTGAGCGGATAGCCTCTGAGGATGATTCTCTGATCCAATCTGTAAAGCAAAATCTTTAAGCTTGTGGTCGGTGGAGCTTTGTATTTGACGGTTCAACGAGGAGGACTAAACGAGTGAGGATGGACCGTGCCTCCTACACCGTATGGATCCGCCATTTCTTCAGAGATTTTTAGCCCTTAGCTAGAGATGCTGACCCTGGTTCTTAGGAGTACGAGAAGTTGGCCTGATGTATGGCTCTAGGCTCTATTTTCTGAGATTTCTGGCTTGCTTCCTCTCATTCTTCATTCTTCTGAGCACAGCTCCAAATTCTTTCAATCCTTTTGTCTTCCCCTTGGTAGTTAGGTTCTTCAAAGGGGATCAGATCCCTTTGGCCCTGCTATTTCTTGGGAACCTTTATTACCGACTGGATTTGCTACATCGAGACATGGTACGTTCTGTGGGTCGGCATGAGCCTGACTCCTTCATCCACAGTCAATTCCTGCTCTGTTTCTTCTTTGAGAGGTTCTCAAAGTTTGCCCCTACTCCGATTGTATTCAAGACAGAAGTTCTTCGAGAGATAGTAGATAAAGAGGGTATCCCCGTGCTTGGTAATGACGAGTCTTGCACGTTTGAGAAAGCGAAGACTTGCTAGCCGTTAATCACACGTTGGTCACGTGTCATTTCCACCCTATCCTTGAATACTTTGGTGGATGATCCTCGGCACTTTGTGGCACGCCCCTATGTATACCCACCGGTGGGTGTGGTAGCACCACTTATCTATCATGGTTCCTCCCGCCTGGTTTCCTTTCCCTTGTCGAAGGGTATCTCTACACACCTTATTGATATGCTGATAATGGTTCATCCTAGTTCACTACCAGTATGGCATGATGAAGGCGTTGATAACACCATCTATAGACCTGACAGAGTAGCATGCCAATTCGGGTTTGACCAATGTGCCCCGAGGCCCACACCTCATTTATTATCTTTTTCGAAAAGCTGCGGGTGCTTTACTCGAGAACTTGTACACACCATGCTTCCTGTATCTGGCTCTTTGACGATACCGGGTTTGAGCTGGGTAGGGGGTTTCACCCCCTCTTTCAGGAGATATTGGTGGAAGGACATTGATGCATTTATTAAGTTTGTCCAGAGTAAACCAACTGTATGTCTGCCTCCGCCGATTTATAAGAAGGACTCTTCTCTTCGATTGCCTGAGAGTCAGAAATCTAATCATATGTATGAGAGCTTTTTCGCTTCGTCTGCTCCGACTGACCTTCTAGCTTAGACATCTACTTCTAGCTTGGCAATTATTTCTCCAGAGCCAGTCCCTCTGAATAAGGCTTCTGGTCCTTAGACGACCTGCCTCAAGAAGATGGCCCACAAGAGGGCTTCTGATGTCAGTCCTTCCACTCCTCGCCTTTCCAAAAGACTCCATCAGGTACTAGATAGACATCTTAAATTTTTTTTTTCTGTTGATTTGAAGTTACTTTCCTTCTTGCGACTACACCTTCTTAATTTAACACTCTTTACTTTCCTTGTTGTGCAGGACCCCACTCCATCTATTGACCCTGCGGTTGCTGACGTTCTCGGTATCGTGGATATTGGCCATGTTGCCCTTACCAGGTCGGACTCAGACCTGGATGACACTCTCCCTTTGTCTGGTAGACTCGTGAAGATTATAGCAGTTATAGTTGATAATGATAAGGCTGAGTCTTCCAATCATTTTTGTGACCTCGTCCCGCATGTGCATCATCACCATCCTATTGTGACTGAGGATGCCTCTCCATTGGTCAGATATTTCCCTCATCGCTCAGTTTCAGGGGGGGAGCGTTATCTTGGCGACGAGGTTATTGGGGCTCACCATTCTAAGGTTGAGATTATTAAGAACCATAGCTCTGGTGTTGAGATTGTTGAAGGGACTGGTGCCACATGAATTGATGCCGCAAGACATGCTTCTAGAGGCAATGTAAAGATAAGGTGTGCTTCCGCAAGACATGTTTCTGGAGGTAATGTAGAGATGAGGTGTGCTTTCGCAAGACATACTTTTGGAGGCAATGTAGAGATGAGATGTGCTTTTGAGGGACATGCTTCTGGAGGTCGCTTAGAGATGAGGTGTGCTTCTGGTAATAGTGTGGAGGAGGATATGCTAGAAGTCTCTGAGACTCGCTCTGGCACTTATGGTGATTCTCATCCTTCGGTATTCCTTCCTTCTCAGGGATGACTGTTACTGTTCTGGATTCATTACACGTTGAGATCGATCAGGTGCCCCTTACACGGCTAAGTGACTTTGTTGATTCTAGGAGCCCTTTAGTTGCCCCAGCTTTGCATAATGATTCTCCCTCAGGTAATCTTGCTTTCTGAAGTTTGTCATGTACTTCTATCTATGAGAACTTTTTACTTAAATGACTTTACTGCTCCCTACCCCTAATAAGACTTCCTTATTTTTTCTTCAGTGTTAGCCGCTACCGGGGTCCTGCCTTCACCTGCCTCAG